CAACGCATCCTAATTGACACTCACTTCCCAGGTTGTTGTGTAGTTGAAATGGTGAACCGGCATGAAGATGCACTGACACCAACAAAAGAAGACTGGGAATTAGCACAAAGAGTGGTGACGATAGACAAAATCCATTGGGCCATTCATAGTTTCCAACCCTATAAGGCAGCAGGACCTGACGGCTTATTCCCGGCACTTCTACAGTGGGGGGAGGGGGGGTAAAGTCCTAATAGTCAGACTTGTTGCCATAATGAGAACATGTCTGGCTTTTAAATATGTTCCTAGGGTACGGAGGGAAGTGAAAGTCACATTCATACCCAAACCAGGTAAGAACGACTATACAGACCCTAAATCCTACAGACCTATTAGCCTCACATCTTTTCTCCTAAAGACGATGGAGAGGATGTGTGAACGGGAGTTGAGAGGGTCGGCGCTAATTAACTTACCGCTACATGAAAAACCACACGCCTATAGCTTAGGTAAATCAACAGAATCGGCACTTCACCAGGAAATAACAAAGATTGAAGAGGCCATCCAAAACAAAGCAATATGTCTAGGCTCCTTCATAGACATAGAAGGTGCTTTAGACAGAACAAATTTCTCCAGCATAAAAGGTGACCTAAGTAGACATAATGTTGAACCGGCACTGATTGACTGGATAGTAAACATGCTCAGTACACAAACAATAAAGATTGCTGGCGAATCTCAGACAATTCAGATCATGAAAGGATGCCCGCAGGGTGGGGTTCTTCCACCTCTCCTGTGGAATATGGTCATTAATGAACTCATCAGCAAATTAAACGCTAACCATTTCTACACAGTCGGTTATGCAGATGATCTGACAATACTGGTCTCTGGTAAGACAGCACCACCTCAGCAGACCTGACCCAAGCGGCTCTCCGTATTGTGGAGAGATGGTGCAGGGAATATGACCTAACCGTTAATCCAAATAAAACGGTTATAGTAATGTTCACACAAAAACGAATGCTGAATAACTATCATCTTCCAAGTCTTTTCAGCACAAAACTCCAACTTTCTTCTGAGGTAAAATACCTAGGTCTTACCTTGGACAGTAAACTTAACTGGAACAAACACATAGAAAACAAAATCAGCAAAGCTAATTTAAATTTCTGGCAGTGCAAAAACATGATTGGCAAACGATGGGGTTTAACGCCAAAAATTATACTGTGGCTGTACAAAACTGTAATTCGGCCCATGATCACATACGGCTCTCTGGTATGGTGGACCAAAACCAATGAAGCCACCACTATACAAAAGCTTCAGCGTTACCAGAGATTAGCTTGTATGGCTGCCACGGGCTGCATAAGGACTACATCAACAGCAGCTTTGGAGGCTATGCTGGAGCTAACACCGCTTCATCTACATATACAACAAGAAGCAACTTTAGCTGCCATTAAACTCAAGACCCTAAATCTTTTAAGTAAGAGTAGAGTCCCCCATACAGATATAATCTATAGAATTTACTCAAAAATTCCTATCTTACAAGCCAAGTATGATAGGATCCCAAAACAATTTGTATTCGATAAGAAATACAGGATACAATTGAAGGAAACTGACCATCTGGAAGGATTGGGTCCAAGAGAGCTCAAAGTTTTCATGGATGGCTCTAAGACAAATGAAGGTGTGGGGTCTGGGGCTTTCTCTGAAGACCTTAATATCCACATATGCACACCGCTGGGTACCCACAACACAGTCTTCCAGGCTGAATGCATGGGTATCATCCAAGCGGCCATAGCAATAGATGCTAGGAAGGTGAAAGACTTCTCCATCAGAATACTGACCGACAGTATGGCGGTACTACAAGCTCTGAGTTGCAATGTGACGAACTCGGGACTGATATACGAGTGACATCAACAATTGAATGAGGTATGTAATAATAATAAATAAAAATATCGAATAAGCATATTATTCCTGCCCACACGCAAAATACGCGCTTAGACGTGGAGTTGCGGAAAACAGCCCGTCGTTAAAAAACTAGAAGACACAATTAAAAGAACAGGCGGAACGAAAAAAAGCTTTTAAGGAGTTAAAGGACCATGGAAAGGAATGAATTCCTAGACTTAAAAGCAATAAATCCAGTCATGTAACAAAACGTAAAGAAATTCAGAAATTAGCTATGGAATATTATAAAGCTCTCTACTCCAATATAGATGAAGACCATGAATTAGAAACCAATAAGTCGCCAACAAATAGATATGATGATGCACCGCCCATACTTATAACGGAGGTAAAGAGAGCCATACACTCTCAAAAACTAGAAAGAGCTCCAGGGCCGGACAACATACCAAACGAGCTCATGAGGGGCACAGCAGAGGAACTGGCTCCAATTCTCACCAGGTTATTTAACGACATACTCAAGTCGGGTGTCATTCCAAATCAGTGGGGAGTCCCACATAATTCTCCTGCATAAAAAAAGGGCCTAGGGAAGTCATTGACAATTATAGACCAATTATTTTGATCTCAAACATCTATAAGGTGTTCGCAAAAGTATTGCTAGAAAGAATTACAAAAAGTCTAGATGCAAATCAACCCATTAGAGCAGGCAGGCTTCAGAAAAAACTACAGCACAATTGACCACATTCACACTATCAAACAAATATTGGAAAAAAGTGATGAATACCAAAAACCCGTTTACATAGCTTTTATAGACTACTCAAAAGTATTTGACAGTTTGAAACATAAATAAATTTGGTCAGCTTTGAGATGGCAAGGAGTAGATAATAACTATATTGAGATACTCAGAAACATTTATAGCATGAGCAAAAGCCGCATCAAACTGGAATCGAAAGAAGACCTATTTCCCATTAATAGAGGCGTCAGACAAGGAGACCCACTGTCCCCCAAACTGTTTATGGCTGTGCTGGAGGATATCTTCAGAAGACTAGACTGGGATGAAATTGACCTCAACATCAATGGCAGTCTTTTAAATCATTTGAGGTTTGCTGACGATATTATCTTGCTGGAAGAAGACCCAAGTAAACTACAAGCAATGGTACAAACTCTAGCCAACAGAAGCAAAGAAGCAGGTCTCGAAATGAACACAATCAAAACAAAACTGATGACCAACTCTAAAAAAGTCAACATAGAATTAGATGGAAAAAGACTTGAATATGTGCAAGAGTATGTGTACTTGGGTCAATTAATTGCCTGTAGTGACCAAACATCTAAGGAAATTAACAAAAAGATTGCTAGTGGTTGGAAAAAATACTGGTCTCTGAGAGAAATAATGAAAAGTAAAGAGCTAATCATCTCTATCAAGAAGAAAACATTTAACACCTGTATTCTCCCCTGCATCACATATGGTTGTGAGACATGGTCCCTCAACCAAAACCACCGGGAGAACCTCCGAAATGTCAACAAGCAATGGAGAGGAGTATGTTGGGAATAAAATTCAAGGATAGAATTAACAACAAGGAAATAAGAAATAATACCAAGGTTGCTGATATTCTGACCCGAATCGACCATCTGAAATGGGGCTGGACAGGTCGCATGATTCGTTGCAAGACCAATAAATGGAGCAAGCAGGTAACCCTATGGTACCCAAGAGATGGCGTCAGAAAACAGGGCTACCCAATCAGAAGATGGGAAGACGATATCCGCCTAACCTTGGGACCATACTGGATAAGGGTAGCAGCAGACAGAACCCAATGTAAGCAGTTGGAGGAGGCCTATGCCAAAACGCACACCGAACTGAGGGACTTACTTTAACTAATATTACAATAGGAACTCAAACACAAATATTATGTAACACCAAAGTTCGGAAATAAATGGCTCTAATATAATATATAATATAATATTAGCATTTTATAACCACATACACTACAATACAGATTAAAAATTCAGTTCAAATGATGCAGGGAACAATCTTACTAGAAACTTTTTCTAGTTCCATTGAAGGATCAACATAGTACACACTTACTTACAAATATAAGTTACAGATTCATAGAATGGGAAGAACACTTGATTAAAACACCCTTACAATAAAAAAAACTTAATGAAAATCAGTTCCGGAGCTATGATGCCACAGACAGATACACATATACACAGACACAGACTACAAACTTGTAACACCCTTCATTGTGGTTAAAAAGCATTATTTTAGTAAAAACAATCAATAAAATAACTAAAAATACATTGGATATTTCATAATACTATCAATTGAAATGAATATAATTTCATCATATTAACATCTTCATATTTATATATACCATTAGGTTTGATATTACTTATAATGTACAACCTAAATCTTTTTTAAGCATATAAATTATATTAACCCTATAGTAAAAAAGTAAGTTATTGGAAACTGAATTCAGGTGCTAGTAAGCACCCAAAACATTGGGAATTAAAAATAATTAAAATTAAACACGATAAAATCTGTAAAAGAAGTTTTAATCAAAGCAACTTACTGTCTAACATATTGATGTAAACATATGGTCTTCAATTTATCTAAGTTATTTCTCAAAAACTATAAATAATGTTAACCAAATGGTAAAACAAGTAATAAGGATGACATAAAAAGACTCACTGCATTGAAATGGAAATTCCATCATTTACGAAAATAATTAAAACCAGCAGTCTTCAATTTAGCAGTTGTTATGCTTCACTGAAAATTGATGTTGGAAATTTTCTTTTGCACCTATATTCACACTTGTTACAGTTGTTTCAATATTTTCCTCATGAATTAGAACAAGACTGAAGTTGAAGCAAATCAATAAGAACTACAAATGTAATTATGAATAAAACAAACGTAATTAATGTCTGTTAAGCAATTTGGCCTGCTCCAAGGTAAAATTTACGTCGTAGGTTTAACATTATATATTACTTAGTTAACTTTTCCATTTGAACTGCGTAAAAGAGGTTGAATGTAATATATAGACAGTAAATGCTTTAAAAATTTACAATATTTTCTAAAGTAAATAATCATCAATAAAGGTTCATTATACGCAAACATGATTGTGTAGAATTATTAGCATTCTTACCTGGAAAATGGTTGAAAGAGACATCAAAGTCGCCGCGGCCGCTCAAGAGCGGCTGCGACTCACGGTTTAGGCCTGGAGAATCCACGTTGCCTTCGAACCCGACCTCTGGTACTAAACAAATGTCCTCTGCACTACTAGATAGAGATACCACGCCGTCATCAGGAGGCGTAATTGTTGTGCTTGGTTTGTCGAAATCGAGATTCAACAGAGTCTCTTCCGTACTCATGAGTAATGTTAAACGACGATTCTCCACAGAGCTTCATCTATTTCGCGTTGTAAAATTCTTTGTTTCACAATCATTTACACAAACACTTTATTTCATTCAACTGGGTTCACATCATAGATTATAGAACTAATTAAGTGTCAGGTTGACTGTGACTGAACTGACAGTGACAGTAGAATAAGCAGTGAAAATGATTTTTTTCTTAAGATTTTGGCTTAGATGCTTGTCCTTTAAGCCATGTCTTCATTTTATTCGGGATCTTCGTTTATATAGAATTTATCTTCACAATATGCTGTTGCGTAACATTGCGAAATTTTTGGGAGAATTTGAAGATATCTCAACCCAGCGGACAGTCGATGACAACAGTCTCTCAAGTTCATAATGCACCTAAGCGTACAAAATAACTTGAGGTTTATATCAACATCGAAGCACTTTTTTGTCGTTTTCTCTAATAGACATAATAATTCCATCAATTTTACGTATCAAAATTCACTTCAAAACGTTATTTGAAGTATAAAACGGGAACAACAATCCAACGACGCTGAAATCCCCGCCCAAAACTCCGCAGTGGAAATGAAAATTGCAAAAACTACAGATACACAACACTTAGTAAATTAGAAAAAATTATTTTTTAATACACATAAATAAAATTGAAGTATCTGTCTGTAATGGAGTCGATTTGGATAACTTTGAACAAAAAAGTATTTGTGATATTACAATCTAATTTAAATTTATACACGTTTATTTTATTGAATAATTAGTATTCTTTTGAATTGGCTTATTTTTCCAACACAATAATTATCCGCGAAATATAATAGAACCACATAGAAATTACTCTAAAACTCAAATTCAAAGTTATCGTGAGTTTTGAGTAACTTTGAATCTAAACTTTTTAGAATATTAAAACCTACATTAATTCAATATTTTAACGTTTGGGTAAAATTAGATGACGTATTTTTATTTAAAAAAAAAGTCTAATTTATCAAAATGGCATCTACGGTGACGTTTAAATATTACAGATAACTTGATCATGCCATGTGAAACAAGGTGGACCAATTTGGTGAAAAAAAAAAGATTGTAATTTTTTATAATTATTTATTACATCAAGGTAAAGTAGCAAAGTCGTGTTATCATAATAAATTGTACGTTTATTTGGCTATTGAATGAGATTAAAAACGTAATTGTAAGTAATATTAACAATTTTTTTAAAGAAAATCATTCACCCCGTTACACGAAAAAAATTTCATTTTCAATAAAAAGTTGCCCGCCTTTTTTGGATAACTGTTGCTCTTGTAAAACACTTACTATATTGGCCTTACCGATTCGACATATTATGTCAGCTTTAGAGGGCCAAAACCAACCTCCTAAAGTTTTTTTTGGAGCACAGAGACTTGTAAGGGTCTAACTTATTGTATCCTTTCTGGGAACAAACTACGCTCTTCTCCAAGGACAATATGTACTGTCTTTTATTTTCGGTATTTTAACGTACCTCCCCTGCCTGTACACTTCTCAGTCGTTACGGCCTTTAAATTACCACTTGTCTCATCTACTATATATTCTTCTATTATTTCTTCATCCTTTAAAATCACTTTACTACTTATGTCTAAGTCAGGGCTTTCTTCATTTGTAATTTCTATTTCATGGATCATATCTTCTGCCACGACTTAATTTTTGAAAACGTTGCTTACTTCACCATCAAATGTCTTGGCGAGTTTAGGAGGTTGGTGAACTAGAGCTTCAACTACTATTACTTCTCTTTCAATTTTTTCAGACTCATTATCACTATTTTTAACAATACTTTTATCTTTTACTTCTCCACTCTTAATCTGATCACTGTAAAGATCTTTATTTTTTCTTCTGCTATATCATTAGTAACCTTCTTCTTCTTTTTGTTGTTACAACCCAGGGGTCGTCCTATTCTCTTGGGTTGCGCGTCGCTTTCATCTACCTTTTGTCCTTTACTTTTGTTGTATTGTCTATTTTTTGATAATATTTTTCGACCTCCTCAGACGAAACACTTTTCCCCGCCGTGACAGGTAATTGAAATTTACTTCCTTTCTTTACATTAAAATCTCCTTGCCTTATTTCTTCTATGTAGTTTATGAAACTTATACCAACGGAATCGCAATAGCTTTTAAAGTGCTTGTACCGTTTTTCCTTTACTAATCAGTTGATAATCAATGAGAACTTTCCTCCATGCAGTTTTTAAGCCAGAAAAATAACCCACATCTAATGGTTGCAACAAGTGGGTTGAATTCGGTATTAAGCAAATAAACGTCATATTATGTTCATTGCAAAGACGTAATGCTTTTGGTGATATGTGGGCGCTGAGATTATCACACAAGAATACATTTTGCCATTTTGCTTATCAACGTGTGGAATAAAATGTCTTTCCAACCACTCCTCAAAGATTAAAGATTCTATCCATCCAGATTCAGACACATTCTTGAACCTGAAGGAGCTTGATAAAGCCAATCAGACCACAGTTTCTTTCCTTTAAATATAAAAAGAAGGCAAAATTTAGCCACCAGCATTTGCACAAAAGACCACAGTGTGACACGATTTACTGGTATTTTTTACAACTTCGGGATGTAAATTAAAATAAAATTTTTTAAAATTTTTACCCACAAACCCCAAAAATAGGCCCTACGAAAAAGTAACTTTTTCTTTCCAGGGTCGTCATGAAATCCCGTATCATCCTTGTTATATATATGTTCTGGTGGTACTCCTTCTATTTCCGTTTTAACATGTTCAAAGAATTCCTCGACCATTTCTCGAGTGACTTGAGCCCTCTTTTTTTTAGTTAAGTTATAAGCTATTTTTGCTTTTAATTCTGGGTTTCTTTCTAAGAACAACACACTCCATTCGTAACCAGGAAGGTTGTTTTTAAATTGTGGCTTTGTTATATTGTTGCTGTATAAGTAGCCACAAGTTTTTTACTACAAATCTAAAGTCCATCATACTTATAGGTATTCCCAGATCGCTTGCAGCAACAAATGGGCCTTAAAGCTAGTTTCTTCGTCTTTACTAAAAGTAGCAGGTTTACCAACTGGTTTAATATATCTACTTTTCAGTTTGTAAAAAAGGGTAACCGCGCGTATTTTGTAAAACTTTGAAGCAACGAATCTAGACATTGCACCTGAATGAATTTTACTGAGGGCTTCTTCGGGCGTTTCATAGTTATAATATCTCTTTAATATATATCTTCTAACGCCGGGGTTCAATTTTTGAGATTTTCGGGGCATATATTGGCTGTAAATAAGTGAAAATTTTAATCAAAATTGAGCAACATAATGTATGTACCCATTCAAAGTTATCCAAAAAAATATTTTTTATGATAAAGGTAAAGTTACCCAAATTAGTTATATTTTGATCGTCGCCAAAACTTTATCAGTTTTACACAATATTTAACATCAAAATCGGGTAACTACTTGAAAAAAATTAAATATAATCTACATTTTATACAATCATAATAATACATACCTGTTTACGATAAGTTTAGTATATTTAATTACGTTTTCAAATCAGAGCAACAAAAACTTCCAATAACTTCAGTATAGAAAAGGCGGGAAATTTTCAAAATTATATACTTGAAGTACTTTTTGATCCGTTTTACACAGTTACGATATTGAAACAACAAAAAATTCCATTAAATAAATAAATCTATTCACAACTTTGTTCAAAGTTAAACCGCAATTCAAAGTTACCCAAAATAAGGTTATTGAAGTAATTGCCTTTAATTTAACTAAAAGATTATTTGCATGCTATTAAGGCAATTAACAATTAAGCAATAATTTGAAAAAAAAATGGCTTGTCTGTTGAGGCTAATCTTTGGAATGGCTAAACCGATTGTGGTAGTTGCAATTAAGTACTTTTTCTTTGTTAATTATTTTAATCAATATAATCAAGACAACAGGTTAAAAACAGTTAACAATTATAAAATCTTCTTCATGTCTTTTTAAAACATATTCTTGCTACTTTTTTTCATTTTAAAAACATCACGGATCGAAGTCACAATAAAGAGTAATATATATATATATATATATATATATATATATATATATATATATATATATATATATATATATATATATATATTATGTATAATCATAGACAATAGCTGCCAGTATTTTTCTCTGACTAATAACCTTCTTGAATCTACAACATCCTCCCCACACAGAAAAATATGAAAGTAGATAATATGAAAGTAGGTAATATGAAAGTAATTTAAAATACTTAAACATAACATGTAATCGAATTAAGTTAATTTTAAGTGTATTCACACATTCATTACAAATATAGATGAATTCAACCCTATTTTAATTAATTTTTAATGTTATTTAGTGAGCAGTATTTTAAATAAACATTCCTAACTAATTGACTAAATGCATTTCGTCATCTTAGTCTAAGAATCTTCTCGGAATATTAATTACTCTACCATGTCTAGTACTAATAGAAGATGTTTGAGGTAAATCAGATGATATTATGTCCGAATTCAAAGTCTTCTGGGGACTATAATCCTTAATGTTAGGGTTAGTAGTCACTGTCTTACTTCTATTATTATATGGGCTGGCCCTGTGCCATTCGTTTGTAACTGTTGTTAGTTCCAGTGAATAAAGACTTTGTACAGCTCTTACCGATTCACCGGTAGCTGTCTGTACTTTCGCAACCCTACAATTACCATCAGCTCCTATAATTAACCCCTTAATACTTAATGGCCAATATCACTGACTAGTGTCAGTTTCAATAAGAACAATATCGTTTAATTTCGGCAAATTTTGTTTACACCTATCTTTACTCAAATTAAAGCAAATATTCGTTTCTAAAACGTTGTCAAACTCACGTAAGTAATACTGTAAACGACTCACATCATCAGCATCCCTTCGGAGTAAGAACATCATCCAAAACAAGTAGTGAAAGAGTCATCACTGTTGCTACGTACGTCAATGTCGGCCGTTAATGATTGCTTCGTAGTTACAAAGTATTGTTGATAATTCAATCCA